TGCTGAAGTAAAATCCTTCCCAGCTATAGAAACTCTCCTGCTGATTCAGGGCCGCTGGAGCAGCCCTAAAAGTCTGACCCATAAGTCTTCACTGTTTCTTGCCCCAAATAGACTTCAGGGACAAAGCTAAAACTTTTTGAAAAATAATAAATCAGCAAATTCAGGGCTGCATCTACAGCAACGCTTCAGATTAAAAAAAAAACCAAAACAAAACAGCATTAAGACTTTAAAGATTTTAAATGGCATTAAGAAATACATTTAACTGTTGAACTAATGATAAACAGTTGCCTTAATAGTAGCTTGAGACCCACACACTGGCCCACTCCTGGGGAATTTTTTCGGCAGCGTTCAGAAAGGAGCAATCAGAGTTTGTTACTGACAGCAACACTGACCCAGGAACACGTCATCAAGTCACTCCTGCTGGAAAACCGCCCAAACGTGACAGCTGGTGTGGCTGCGTCAGTGGACGAGGTAGATCGTCAGCAGCAAAGAAAGCACCAGGGGTTTAAGCAGTGTAGCACCTCAGTGTTAAGCAGGAAAACTGAAAATCCAAATACCTGCAGGAATGAAATGCCTCCCCAAGAGCACTGAAGGAGATGCTGAATATTCAGTTCAGCCAGGTATAGCCTGGTATTTTACTACACAGGTGTGTCTAAAATATCAAACGAGTTATGGACAGGAAATGGGTTCAGGAGATGGTTTTACTTTTATTTAACTTGAATGCTGAGTAGGTGAGAATTGGGGAAAATGTCACATCTGAGAAAGGAAACACAACATTTCTATGTTAGCTATGTTTATTTTTAAATGCCTGTTGTCCGATAGGAGTCAGGGACTTGGAAAGTTAAGGGAAGCCCTGGGGCAGATCAAATGAAGAGCAGCGAACAGATGAGGCAATAAAACTTCAAGAAGAAAAAATATTTTTTGCAATTAGCTTGCAAAAAGTTTGGCTTTGCAATTTATGACATATATCACATTTACACAAACGTAAATCCATTGTTCATCATTTCGCAATCAGAACAGATGTAAATATCATGACACACCACCAGCAGAGCACACACCATTTGTGTCTGGCTATTTATATATGACCTCAAAAATGCACATTAAAAATGCACTGGGAAAAGGTAAAAAATAGAAGTATTTTATTAACATTTCAAATCTAAACCTTAAAAGTGAACTTCAGATATGTCTCATGCTTCTCAAGCTTACAGGGATATTCAATTAGGAACATGCACTTTCTGCATTAAACAAGGTCAAGAGAGACTATAGTGATCCAAGTATGAAATATTAGTTTCTAGAAAAAAATTCTTGTTGTTTTCTTTTTCCTAATTGTCTATAAAACTGTGGCAAGGAGACAGCTTTAAGATCGAAGTCAGAACTGTTCTTTATCTTTCTTAGCCAGTAATTTCAAACAGCAAGTGAGCACGGTAACAGCATCGTGACAGCTCTGCCCTGACATTTCTCATAATTGCTGAAGGCCACAGTGCATCCAGCCGATTGCTTTTGGCATGCTCCGACCACACTGCAAGAACCAGAGAAAAAGAGCAGCTCTCCTGTAGAAAGGTGGTCATCCACCTCCAGACCCTGGCCAAATACTTACACACTTACACATACATGCAGGCACTGAGTGTCCCCTTCCCCTAGAAAGACACTTGCCCGGGGTCCACAGGGATGAATTCAGCCCAGTCCCCAAGCTTTAGCTTGTTACCCTGCTCCACAAAGCTGATGTGAGAGTGATGGAAAAGTGCTCAGCAAAGCCAAAACCACCACAGCCGAACTGATGGATTCAGTCCCAAAGGCCCTCATTTGTCACATCTCAGCTTTGTCAGCTACTCCAACTCTGACAGGAACCTCATGAAGTTCAACAAGAAATGCAAAGTCCTGTACCTAAGGAGGTATAACCCCATGCACCAATATATGCTGGGGGGCACCCAGCTGGAAGGCAGCTTGGCAGAAAAGGACCTGGGAGTCCTGGTGGACCAGTCTCAACATAAACCAGCAATGTGCCCGTGCTGCAAAGGTGGCAAATGGTATCTCTGGCTGCATTAGACAAAGTATTGCCAGCAGGTCAAGGGAGATGATCCTTTCCATCTACTCAGTACTGGGGAGGCCAGTACCTGGAATGCTGTGTCTAATTCTGGGCTCCCCAGTACAAGAGAGACATGGAAAATCTGAAGAGAGTCCAATAAAGGGCCATGAAGATGATTAAGGGACTGGAGCATCTCTCCTCTGATGAAAGGCTGAGAGAGCTGGAACTGTTCAGCCTGGAGAAGAGAAGGCTCGGGGTGGGGCAGATCTCACTAATGTATACAAATACCTGAAGGAAGGGTGCAAAGAGGACAGAGTCAGGCTCTCTTCAGTGGTGCCCAGTGACAAGGCCAGAGGCAATGGGCACAAAACAGAACAGAAGAGGTTCCATCTGAACATCAGGAAACACTGTTTTACTGTGAGAGTGACAGAACACTAGCACAGGTTGCCCAGAGATGTTGCAAGTTCTCCACCCTTGCAGATATTCAAAAGCTGTATGGACATGGTTCTGAGCAACTGGTCATAAGCAGCCCTACTTGAGCAGCAGGGTTGGACATGACCTCCAGGAGTCCCTTCCAACTTCAACCATTCTGTGATTCTGTGACCTTTCCGATGGCTGCTGGTTAATGATTCATTTACTTTATTTTCTGAGGTTTAGGGCGTTGTTCTGTACAGTGATTAGACAAGGATTTGGAGAAGAGTCAGGGGCTAGCAACAATACTCTCCAGAAATCCTTTCCCATGGTGCTTCGCAGGCTGAGAGATCCCATTCACAAAAATATGGGTTTTAAAAATGCCTCTCCTCTTATAAAAGGAAAACTGGTAAGAAACCCCTTGTCATCGTCTTAGGTAAGAAAAACATCTGTTCTGTATTAACCACGAATACAGAGAGCCTGGGGAAGTTGGAGAAGATGTACCACAAGGAGCGACAGGGGTAAGACACATACCAAACAACAGCAATCCTTTTGCTGTAAAAATAAAAAGAAAGGAAGAACTATGACTTTTTAAAACACTCCCTTTCCACCTTGGTGAGATCATCAATGTCATGTGAAAGAAAGAAGCCACACATTTTAGCATTCAGGGTTACCACTCTGCTCATCCACTCTGACCTCTTCTTTTCACAGGGCAAACCATTTCATCGTGTCCTTTCTCCACCAAGACCAAAGCTTTGCTTTGTGCTGGAGCAGACCTTTTGCAAAACCCCTTCCAGCCTCATTTAGAGACTTCACATTTCCACATTTCTTTCAGCCCTGTGAAGCCCATGATTCTGGATGTTGAAAATACAGAATACACTAACATGACTTTTTTCTAATTCAGCACAAAGTCCAGCATTATTCTACCTGCTCCAATCTCTCCATCTGCAATAGTGTGAAAAAGCACCAAGTTACTTTGTTTCCTATTTACAACCCAAGAGAATTAAAAACATAGCAACAGCAAGATGCTGGGGTACGAGTGGGAAGGTGAAAATGTATACAGGCTGCCTCGTGTCTGAAATAATCTGTACAGGGTACATTTCTCTGTTTCTTGACCTTGTTGTAGACTAGATAAGTTCAGAATTATATTTAAAACCAATGTGTATGTTTAAATAGACCAGGCAAAATTTGCATAGCTGCCTACTGCTGTCAGTGTTTCTTCAAACGATTCTCTCCTTTCTTTTCCTCTATAGACAGTGACTTGAAAAGAATGATAATTTTATCCCATGTATTAGTGACCGCCTGTACTCACAGATATTTTCGTCTGGAAGGAGTAAAGGAGCCGCACAAATAGCAGGTGCAAGAGGGAAACAAAAACTACTTGTGAGAAAAAGCAACACTTCTGATGCTCACTTCAGCTCAGCTGGATTGTATCTTTCTTCCACAGCACTACTTGAAAAATAATATCCTGAACTTGCACCGTTGCACTCAAATTCTTAGGAACAAAGGCAACATCATCAGATCACACACCAGCTCAGGCCAGCAGCTGCCTCTCCTTAAAAGAAGTTAAACTGAGTATTTCAGAGGAAGACATTAACTACCTCAAATTAAAAATTCTGGAATAACACCTAAAATTATTGTTTCCCCTGGTTCTCTTTAATTACCTTCTGATTCATGGACAAAATCAGAATAATTTGTACCTGTGCTTTAAAAAAAATCATCATCATCTGCATTCATTCTCATGATGAAAACAAACGTCTGTTCTTAAACAGGAGCCTAGCAAGATATTTCCCTGTTCCTATCCATTACTCAAACTAAAATTCCTGCATTCTCAATAAATTGAAGATGCAGGTTTAACAACTCCATACAGTTACAAAAATAGGACATGAAGAAGGCAAGCACGCTAATAGACATGAACTAATTGGTCTCTGCCTTGGCCCAGCCATAATGCTGTCCTTCCAAGCATGCAACTTTCTTCTTCCTCCTTGTGTTTTAGTCATAATTAAATATTTTACATTCACAAAATATTCTCCATGTCCCTTGCTCTAATTAGGACAGCAAATTTGACAGTCCTCTGACTGTGGGGCTAACTGAGACAGGCATGACTTGGTAGCATACTTCACATGAAGGCTGAGCCAAAGGTTTCTCTGAAGAGGAAAAAAAAGAAGTACAAAATTAATTTTTAAAAAATTAATTGGTATTTCTTT